AAAAAAAGTAACTGCCGTGTGAATTCAGTCCTCAAAACCCACATATTTCTGCTGATCTTTGAAAGCTGTGATCAAGCTCATCAATATATCTGAAAACTGCTATAAAGAAGAAATGTTTATGCATCAGCATCCCTGGGGGATGAAGGGAAATGAGGGGAAAATAACTTTTTAAATCAATTATGGGAGATTTGTTTCCCTTAAAAAATGAAGCCACCTAGCAGTCATAGCAGGTTGCTATGGTGCTGCCTATTTATGATCTCTCATGAAAGCTGCAGTGATCTGGTGAACTGACACCTATCTCATATGAGTAGGTGGAAACTAGCAACCCTGAAACTTGGCAAAATAGCCTGCATTGGGCTGTCAGGGAGTGACAGGTATTAACAGTCACACACCACTGTCAAAAAGGAGAAATCTTAATCCCCTGGTGAAAACCGCAGTGGCTGGCAAAGATTGGATCTCTGCTGCCAAGAATGTATCTACATCAGCATTTTAGTTAGTTGAAATCGCAAGTTCAAATCAGAAGCAGCTGGTTTTCTCTACAAATCAGCTACTAGTGACAAGCACTGTACTGGCCCCTTTGCACTGAGCTGTATTTTCACAAGAGAGTAGAGGCATCACCCTAAGATTTTTGAGAGAAAATGCCTTTAAAGCTACATATGTGATCGACTGCTGAATGCCCTCACTGAAGTGATGAGTACTCACAGGTTTAGATTTTATGCAGAATTCACATCTGTCATTTAATATGACAGCAAAAGACAGAAGCTCTGTAGCAGATTTTAACATGCCACTGTAATAGAGGCATAACTTAACTCAATCTGTTCTAAAACATTGAAATAAATGTGTGTCTGTAATTTTTCCCCAAACATTTGAGTTTGTCATACGGGTTCCCATTTTGTATCCAGGTACGTTCTGTAACACGTATTTCATTTGGTGTCTGATCATTTAAAAATAGAATTGGTCATCATTCTAGTACTATTGTGGCTATTATTTTTGGTCAGCAGGGCAAGACAGAGCTTTTTTTTCTGATGAAAGACCACATATTAAGAAACATACATTTTAGATTTATTTCAGATACTGGACTGGGGAGGTACTTAAAGAAAAATTAAACCTAAATCAAACAGAAAATTTGACAGAGAAGTCATTTAAGGAGAATAAACATGAATGTTCTCATGTCATTTTTTATGGTTAATTTTCTCATTAAATCTGCTTTGTGGATTATGAAGTGGGTATCAACTTCTTGGTTTAGGAAAAGATGGTATCTTAGCAATTCAAAACACACACCCTTATTCAAAAGAAATTAACTCAGCTGATGTTTACAAGTAGCATTAAAATATTTTATTCCAAGTGATGAAAATAGACCTCCACATTTTCCCATCTCTCTGAAATGTGTACTTTACCTCAAAAAATAAGTAAACGCAAACTTTGCAAACTATCAGCGCAAATCAGCGCTGTATTTCTGCATGCATCTGTAGACAGAGAGCTTGAAACAACAGCTCTGAAAGGGGTCTGAACAGTTCTATTTCTCTGAACTCTGCCTGAGCCCAGAGACCTGGTAACAAAAAGTGGGTGGGTGGAATAACCATCTTGAAAACTTCAGACTGGGAATGAATTACAGATTTCTGACTGATCTCATAAAAAGGATACAACTGGGATCAGCAATCTCAGATACCCAGTGCAAGTTTCACTGGTAGCGAAAGAAACCTACTCCCATGCTGGGTGAATTTTATTTGGACTTCATAGCTTACAAAATCAAAACTAATAGAAAAGACTACACGACTCTTCCACTTCAAACATACTTGTTTTTATTGAATGGTCCAATGTACTTTGCTCCATTTGGAAATGTGTAGATTCCAGCCCTGTGAAACATACTGTTTTTGAACTCGCCTTCATAAACTGCCCCAGAAGGATGTTCTAGCCTTTCAGTACCATTCATTTGCATTTAATGAGAGAAGAAGAATAAAGAAAATGGTTAATGTTTATGCTTACAGTATTATTTCCTTTTATTACAATATCCTTTCAGATTGCTGCCTTCAGTCTGCCAACATATTGAGATATGATAATGGAGAGGAAAGTGACTATTCTTTCAGATTTAGACAGGTTCCTGCTTCTACAAGGATTTCAGGTGAGAGCTTAGTAGTTTTTGGCCAGCCACAGTGTCCAATAAACCCCTCCTCTGCTGGTAGTCTCACAGAATCTTAACAATCTATGCAGCATGGAACTGCTGTCCTCAGCCCTGCAAATAACGCATGTACCCTGACAGCCTGAGGGGTTAATTAAATTTTCCAGAATTTCTTTCTGTGGATCAAGGCAGAACAAGTCTTTCATTTGTTCAGCCTAGGCCACTAAACCATGCCTGGGGATTTAAATTTGTGCTGTAAAGCTGTGCCATAATCTCAATTCTCATCATTGCACCAACATTTTTGTAAGAGACTGAAAAAAAGGCCAGACTAGATCTAATAAAGCCACAAGATGCTGTTTCCTAATTGCAGACCCTTATTTGTCTCGTTTCAAGGACTGTCTCCTCTCCAGGATCAACAAAATAAGCAATTTTCCTATACTTCTATACTTACTAATTCATTCCTGGAGAACTCAGTAACCAAGGGCAGCCAAACAAGGTGTATCTGTCGATGGCCAGAGCTCCCCTGTTTCATTGTGGGATGCATGTGTGGCGTATATACACATGCAGGAGGGCCATGCCTAGCCTAGTATGTGTGCACAGCCCATTCATGCAGGGCTTTCACGGTGGCTGTGCCATGCTGGGCAACACCGGCGCCACACTGCCCGGGTGTTTCACCAGGGCCTGTCTGCCAGCAATGACCAGTGTGTTTGCAGGAGCCTTGGGAGGCAGCAGGACATCTGAAGACCCCAAGTGTCTCAATTCTTCAGACTGGGCTGTGACAAGATTCCCAGGTGGAAGAAGAGCCTGCAGTGTTGGTCTGATCCTTCTCAGGTTATGACTTTCCTTTCTGTGTCTTTTTAAGGGTGGATATAGTGAGACATGCTCCATTCCAAACACAGAGAAAGTTTAAAGTGAAGAAATACTTAAAATTACCTTGTCATTTTTCCAGCTGCCGACACACATAGTTCCATTGGTGCCCGTGTGGACTCCATGACCGTTCCTCTCAGGCACACCCTCATGTGTCCTTTTGCACTCCACCTCTAGAAAACGAGAGTGGTGGAAGACAGGTATTTTCACTTCAAGACAGAGAGCATCTGAGAGGCAAAAACCTATGAGATTGTGAAATGCATTTCTGCTGTTGCACAGAGCCATTTCTCCCAGGGCTGACTCTCCATCTCCTGTGGACAGACTACTCCCAGAGATGGGCCCTTGGAGCACGCAAGCCCCGCTGGAGCAGGTGCCTTTGGGTGCCACGCACAGAGTGCGAGCCAGCAGCAGTCCCATTCTACCACCACTGAGCCCCACTGTGGGGGTGGTGGGGAGCTGGCATGGGGCAGAGCAGACCCCAATGGACCACCAGGGCTGTGGCTGTCTGCAGGAGGACCCTGAGGAAACTCCCCCACGGCAGCTTCTGTGTGTCTATGGGGGGTTCTTACACAGCCAAAGCAGCATGTTACTTGGGTAATAGTCCATTTTTGCTGGTAAAATTTTTTGCTTTAAACTCCAACCTGGCACAGGTTGCCTGGAGGGGTTGTGGAGTCTCCGTCCATGGAGATATTCAAGACCCAATGGGATGCAGTCCAGGGCAGCCATCGTGGGTGACCCTGCGTGAGCAGGGGACCGGGGATCTCCAGAAGGGCCTCCCAACCTCAGCAGCACAGCTTCAGGGTACCTTGTCACTTATGTAACCCTCACCCTGAAACTGCTATAGATTTCCTCTGTTTTAATCCCATACACTCAGTTTTGCAAAAGGAATTAGCCCCTGCCAAGATTTTCTTACCATACTTGTCTTTATTTGGGAATATGAAAGACACTTTAAAAAACACAGCATCTGTTGAGAAAAAAACAACCAGTGTCACTGTTACAACTGTTGGCTGAAATTCAAATAAATATTTACAAATATATATTCAAATACACAGCAGCTTGAAACCGCACGTAATTATCAGTGTGCTGCTTGAGTGTGCGATTCTTTATAGGGGAGCCCTCAGTCCTGTCCGCGGGGAGGGGAGCGCGTGAGGGGAGCGCGGCGGCTGGGGGGACAAAGTGTTACCGTCCGTGATTGCCAGGCGGAAGTGTCCGCGGTTGCTAGGTAGGCCGGCGGCCCGGAAGG